GATTTGTTTGTTTGTTTTAAAGTCAAGATTAGTTTTGAAGTTTTCACAAATGCGCTTTGTTTTAGACAGAGTCTTGCTATGTAGCCCAGGCTGGCCTCAAACTTTGATTTGTCATGCTTCAGCTTCCTGAGAACTCGGACCACACATCCGACTTCAAATCCTTTTTTTCCTCTATCCACATGACCGTGTAATGTGATGGACTGCATTAACGGATATCTGTACGTTGAAGCAGGCTTTGTTGCTAGAAACAAATCCCACTTGGTTGTGATATAACTTTATTTCACACAAGGTGGATTCCACTTGTTGGTACTTAATGGGAGACCATTGTATCTGTGTCCCTGAGAGACATTAGTCTACAGTTTTCTTGTCCTGGGGTCTCTATTAGGTTTTTCATGGGATCTGCAAAGTTATGCAGTAGATCAGCTGACATTTAGAAGGCCAACCCCCCAGAGATTTACACATCTGATGGAGGTTAAGTTCACATAGGCATGGCCTGTGAAAAACACTGCTTTTTGAACGGCTGGCTGCCTCAAACTTCACGTTCTCTTGGGTGATAATAGGCTTCCTCTCTAACTCAGCTTTGGGACTGGATTCCTTATACGTCAAGTACAATTTCCCTAGGTTCTGTTAGAAGGAGAACTTTTTCCCCAAACCGTGTACTCTGGCAAATAAGACAGTGAAACCTTTTGTCCCACACTGCAATAAAACAACTTGGGAACCTGTTCTCTATCATTAACTTCCTGACAGGATGATTTGGCCAAACTGAAGTCCTTATGGAGAAATCACAGGGGGGAACTTTCACAAGGCAGAACCGCAGGTGTCTGGCCTTGCTAGAGCTAAGTCATTCAAAGACTTTTGATGCATTTGGGTGGTATTGCAGGTGTCTGTCCTTATCTTATAGTCCTTCAAGAGATCACTATCACCTAACTGACTAACCGCTTCCAGATGTTAGTAAGCACTTCGGAAATGTAAAACAATGCATGTATTCTTTACCTTTCCTTTGATCTCTCAATAGTTTCTTTTTCTCCCTTTGGAAACTGTAGTGGCCACTTTAAGAGACTGCTGGAACCTCCTCACAGCTGCAGCTGTGATTAGCTACAAATGAGCTGATAAATTTTGCGAGGTATCTTCAAATAATGCCTGTGTCCCTGAGAACGGTCCTTGTACTTTTTTTTTGTTGTTGTTGTTGTTTGTTTTTTTTTAGCACTAACAAGTTGTTAGTGAAAGTGTGTGTATATATGCATATACACATGCTTGGGAATTTGTAACAGTGGAAGGAATAAGATCAGAAGAATAAAGAATGTAGGATACAGAATGTAGAAAAATGAAGAAGAAAAAGAAAAGGAAAAAAGAATCAGAGAATTAGAGCTAAGAAATTATAGACAATTAGGGCAAGAAATTAAAATTAACGCAAAACAATAAAGACACATAGCTGGAACAGCAAACATGTGAGTCTTTTCCCTCAGAGTAGAACTATCCTACAGTGGGCGGTGGTGGCACATGCTTTTAATCTCAGCACTTGGGAGGCAGAGGCAGGCGGATCTTTGTGAGTTCAAGGCCAGCCTAGTCTACACGAGACAGTTCCAGGACAGGCTCCAAAGCTACAGAGAAACCCTGTCTCAAAAATCAAAAAACAAACAAAAGAACTATCCTAAGATCCTTTCCCTATGCTACGGGCAAGCTGGGCTCAGCTGGCTCATCAGGTTTTCATTTTAAGACATTACTGGCTTTGTCAGAAAATTCTTATTCACTTCTTTAAATGTTTCTCAGACTCCATCAGTGAAACAATCAGAGCCTATACTTATGTTTGGAAAGTTACATACAAGGTATCGACTCAATAAATTTATGAAAAGATATAGGAAAGAGATAGCTCAAAATAGCTCTCAAAATCCGACCCTGGTGATGTACTTCCTCTTCAAGGCCACAGTTCCCAATCCTTCCCAAACAGCATCACCAAGTGGGAACCAAGTATCCAAACCTAGGAAGTAATATGGAGAGCACCTCATTCAACCCACCACCTAGGGCTATTGCACTTACTGATTTCCTGTATAGATTTTAGAAGATTTTATTTTTCAAGAAACTGGTACATAGCCGGGCTTGGAGGTACACGTCTTTAATTCCAGCACTTGGGAGGCAGCAGAGGCAGGTGGATCTCTTGAGTTCAAGGCCAGCCTGATCTACGTAACAGGTTCCAAGCCAACCAAGGCACCTAGTGAGACCCTGTCTCCAAACATTAACAAAAAGACAGGTACATTTTGTCAAATTTATAGACAGAGGGCTACTCAGAATGTTCCCTGATTATCCTTTAACTCATGGAATCGGTAGTGATGAACTCTCTCCAGGTCTGATATTAGTGATTTGCTTTTTATTTCCTTTTTCCCTTTCTTTGTTCGGCTAGGGTTTTAAAATTTTTATTCTTCCCAAAAAGCCAGATTGGGTTTTATTGCTTTCTTACTGTCAATTTCATTGATTTCTGTTCTGAGTTTTATTATTTTCTAATTTTATTATTTTATCATTTCCCTGATGATTTTGAATTTAATTTGCCTTTATTTTTCTAGTTTCTTTTGAAAAAAAATATTATTTTATGTGTATAGACCCGTATTGCATGTCTGTGCTTCATCTGCATGCCTGGTGCTCACAGAGGTCAGGAGAAAGTGTCGGGTCCCCTGGAACTGGACCAAAGTCTCTCCATAGCTTCTATCAGCAGCCCTGGCAGTGCATGGCCCACCAAGTGCAGAGGGGCCTCTAGAGCTGGTGGAGAATCTAGCCCCAACCTTGGGGTCCCAGGGCCCACACCTCTGGTGACAGATGCCCAACAGCCAAAGCGGCGCTGACCTTCGGTCTCAGGCATTGTTGTCTTCTCCCTGACAACCAGAGAAGAGTATCTGGAGGACACTGTTGAGGGCTGGGGGAGGTGAAGTAGAAGCAGAACTGAGCCAGGTTTAGAAACCAGCAGTCTTGCCGGGCGATGGTGGCGCACGCCTTTAATCCCAGCACTCGGGAGGCAGAGGCAGGCGGATCTTTGTGAGTTCGAGACCAGCCTGGTCTACAGAGCTAGTTCCAGGACAGGCTCCAAAGCCACAGAGAAACCCTGTCTCGAAAAACAAAACAAACAAACAAAAAAAGAAACCAGCAGTCTTAGAAGACCAGAAAACACAGCTTCTAAGGGACAGTGTGGGGAAAGCCACCCAGGGAATGTCACCATTACATTTCATCTCTTGTGGGCTAACATGCCTTTTTTTGTTTGTTTTGTTTTATTTTGTTTTCCAATATGGGCTCTGGGGATTCAAACTCTGATCCTCAAGCTTACAACAGTCCTAGGGCTTACACAGTCAGATCCATACATCAAACCGTGGGACAGGAATACCATGAGTGCTTCTTTTCATTCTTTCTTTTTGCTTTGTTTTAATAATTTATTTTTATTTTATGTGTTCCAGTGTTTTGCCTACATATATGTCTGTGTGAGGATGCTGGATCCCCTGGAACTGGAGTTATGCAGGGTTTCTCTATAACTGCCCTGACTGTCCTGGAATGTGCTCTGTAGACCAGGCTGGCCTCAAAGTCACAGAGATACACCTGCTTCTGTCTCCTGAGTTATGGGATTAAAGGCGTGCGCCAGCAGCCCCTGGCTCATTTTTTGAAATTTATTTTTACGTGTATGTGTATTTGGCCTGCATGTGTGTCTGTAAACCCTGTGCATTCCTGGTGTCTACAGAGCCCAGAAGAGGGTGTCAGAACTCTAGAATTGCACTTAATGGTTTTGCATTGCCGTGTGGATACTAGGAATTGAACCTGGGTCCTCTAGAAGAACAGTCAGTTTTTGTTGTTGTTTTTTTCTTTTTTAGTTAGTTAGTTTGTTTTGTCCACACAGGCTTTCTCTGTATAACAGTTTTGGCTTCCAGGAACTCACTCTGTGGACCAGGCTGGCCTTAAACTCAGAGATCTGACTGCCTCTGCTACTGGGATTAAAGGTGTGTGCCACCACTGCCCTACTCACAATCACTGTTTTTAACTGTTGAGTCATCTCTTCAACCCCTGCTTTTTTTTTTTATTTAGGCATGCATGTGGTGGACACACACACATGCGTGTGCATGCAAGCACACTTGTATGGGGGTACCTGCAGAGCCCAGAGGAGAAAGTTGGATGGCCTGAAGCTGAAGTTATAGGTGGTTGTTGGCTATTTAACGTGGGTGCTGGAAACTAAACTAGCCCTCTGCGTGAGCAGCAAGTTCTCTTGTGTGCAGTCTATCTCTCCAGCCTCCCGCTGTGAAACATTTACTGTTGGGAGGTATGCATTCCACAGCTTAGGTGTGGGGGGTCAGAGGACGACTTCATGGAGTTGGTTCTCTCCTGCCATCTTTATGTAGGTTCCAGGGGCGGAGCTCAGGTTGTCAGGCGAGCGCCATTATCTGAGAAGCCATCTCACCGGCCCTCCCTTGGCATTGCATCATCTACCTTCAAAAGCGAAGAGAGGGAGACAAAGCAGACTTGCTCTCAAGAACTTACAGAAAAGGATGCGCTGTAAAGGGCAATAGAGCGTTGCGTGTGTGAATTGTGTCTTCAGGGACTGTAAAGGTATTCCTGCACTCGAACGCCACGCTATCTTTGCCATGTGGCGCTACACACGCATGGCTATCTCACGTCCATCCCACACAGTCAGTGGAGCTCCACGTCCCTGTAGTCACCTGCGGGTCCTAAGGTCAGAAGCATCCAATCTCTGCCCCTTAGCTGGGTGTGGGAGAGGATTAGCAGGCAGCAGAGTTCAGGGCCCGCTGCCCCCCCCCTTTTCTCCTGGTGAGAACCTTTCCACAAAGCCCTGCCCACACACTCCCCCTTTGCCTTTCACACCCTGTCTGCAAAATTAAAGTCACCTAAGACGATTTCTGACAACCTGAATCACCTTTACACAGCTGCTTGGATGCCACACCTGGTAGGAGGAGTACCTGATAGAATAAAATAGAAGAAAACCAAAGGTCGCCACCCTTTAAGCATGAACTGTGCTTAAGTGAGGGAGCCTTGTGACTCTCTCAGCAAGACTCTAGCTGAGCCGAAATGGACAAGGCTGAGCAAGCCCCGCACCCAGTCCCAGGATGAGACCAGTTTAGCCAGGGAAAGATCACCTCTGCTCCCTGTATCTACCTCTGAGCATTAGATCCTGTGACGGGACCCCATGGATGCGGCTGGGGCCCCCTGCTCCAGGTGAGTGTGCCTTTCAGGGGAAACTTTCCAAAGGAGTGGGCTCACTTCGCGAGCCTGTCCTGGGCTGCTGATTAAAACCCATCTTCTATTGCAACTCTGCCTGCCCACACACCCCCAACCTCAAGCCGGGTCATTTATGAGTCTGCTCCCCACAAGGAACTCAGACCCAGGCCCTGGTGCCTGTGGTCCAGAAAGGACTTACCAAGGTGTGCTACACGGGCTTGGAGTGCAGAACTTAGGAACTCTGCCAGGGCCAGGCCTATCTGCTCACTATGTCCGAGGCGAGCTGTGCTAGAGCGCTATCAAAGGGACAAAGGAGAGCACAGACCCGTGTTGAGACCTTAACTGTCTTTATCCGGTGTGGCCAGGCGTGTGAAAGGAAGGACGCAGGACAGCTAGCTGTGGTGTGGTCCACTTCACCACAAGCAGTTAAGAAATTAGAAGCATATTGTCCTGGGGCTCCCTGTGGAGAAGGTGGGAGGCTCGAGGGGTGCTTTGGAGGTTTGGGGACAGGTCCCTTGCAGGTCACATCAGTAATAACTCTGCTCATTCCCAGCCGGGAGGCGCTGGCAAGGGAGCTGATTCTGGCCGCACTAGAAGACTTGAGCCAGGAGCAGCTGAAGCGCTTTCGCCACAAGCTGCGGGATGCGCCCCTGGATGGCCGGAGCATCCCTTGGGGGCGACTGGAGAACTCAGACGCTGTGGACCTCGTCGACAAGCTGACCCAGTTTTATGGGTCAGAGCCAGCCGTGGATGTGACCCGAAAGATCCTGAAGAAGGCGGATGCTCGAGATGTGGCAGTGCGGCTCAAGGCGCAGCAGCTGCAGCGTAAGCTGGGTTGGGTTGGATGGGGCGGAATCGGTTGAGATTTACTCTCCACCACCATATGAAGCTGTGCTACTCCCGAGAACGAGCCAAAAAAAAAAATTCGTGCACGGGGCGGGGGACTGTTCCAGAGACTTCCAGGGGGATGCCTTGCCTCATCCCTCATGCTCATTGAGCCTTATGTTGGGTTTTTCTTCCAGAACTCGGCCCCAGCTCAGTGGTTGTCTCCCTGTCGGGTAAGTTTGGCGGGGCACACACTATTACTGCTTGGGGGTCCTTGGGTGTGAGTGAGGTAGCTGGAGGAGGAAGCCATGACACAATGAAAGAAAGTGAGGCCAGGTTTAGACAGGCAGGGCGTTGGTTCCAGGGCGGCGGCAAGTCCGTCCCTACCTTCCCCGGTCTCACACCTTACAGAGTACAAGAAGAAATACCGCGAGCACGTGCTGCTACAGCACGCTAAGGTGAAGGAGAGAAACGCCCGCTCCGTGAAGATCAACAAGCGCTTCACCAAGCTGCTTATCGCGCCGGGGAGCAACGCCGTGGAGGATGAGCTGCTGGGGCCGTCGGAGGAGCCGGAGCCTGAGCGCGCGAGGCGCTCGGACACGCACACCTTCAATAAGCTCTTCCGGGGAGATGACGAGGGCCTGCGGCCGCTGACCGTGGTACTGCAGGGTCCGGCGGGCATTGGCAAGACCATGGCCGCCAAGAAAATCCTCTATGATTGGGCGGCAGGCAAGCTATACCACGGCCAGGTGGACTTCGCCTTCTTCATGCCTTGCGGCGAGCTGCTGGAGAGTCCGGGTACGCGCAGCTTGGCAGACCTGATCCTGGACCAGTGTCCGGACCGCAAGGCTCCGGTGCGGCAGATACTGGCGCTTCCCCAGCGCCTACTGTTTATCCTGGACGGTGCAGACGAGCTGCCTGCTGTTGCAGCCCCGGAGACCGCCCCCTGCAAAGACCCTTTCGAGGCTACGAGTGGCTTGAGAGTGCTGAGAGGACTGCTGAGCCAAGAGCTGCTGCCCTTGGCTCGCTTGCTGGTGACTACACGCAATGTCGCCCCGGGGACTCTGCGGGGCAGACTGGGCTCGCCACAGTGCGCAGAAGTACGCGGCTTCTCAGACAAAGACAAGAAGAAGTATTTCTTCAAGTTCTTCCGGGACGAAAGGAAGGCAGAGCGCGCTTACCGCTTTGTGAAAGAGAATGAGACGTTGTTTGCGCTGTGCTTCGTGCCCTTCGTGTGCTGGATCGTGTGCACGGTGCTGCAGCAGCAACTGGAGTTGGGCCAGGATCTGTCTCGAACCTCCAAGACCACGACATCGGTGTACCTGCTCTTTATCGCCAGCATGCTGAAGTCTGCAGGCACCAATGGACCCCGGGTGCAGGGAGAACTGCGCACGGTGTGCCGTCTGGCCCGGGAGGGCATCCTGAAGCACCAAGCACAGTTCTCAGAAAATGACCTGGCGCAGTTGAAGCTTCAGGGCTCGCAAGTTCAGACACTGTTTCTCAGCAAGAAAGAAGTGCTGGGCGTTCTAGAAAAGGAGGTCACCTACCAGTTCATTGACCAGAGCTTCCAGGAGTTCTTGGCTGCATTGTCCTACCTACTGGAGGCTGAGGGGGCTCCAGGGGCACCCGCGGGAGGTGTGAAGATGCTCCTGAACTCTGACGCAGAGTTGCGTGGTCATCTTGCACTCACCACTCGCTTCCTCTTCGGACTGCTGAGTGCAGAGAGGGTTCGTGACGTTGAACGTTATTTTGGCTGTGTGGTGCCAGAACGCGTGAAACAGGAAACCCTACGGTGGGTGCAAGGACAGGGCCACCCCAGGGTGGCTCCAGTAGGGCCAGAAAAGAATGATGAGCTGGAGGACACTGAGGAACCAGAGGAGGATGAGGAGGACCTCAACTTTGGACTGGAACTGTTGTACTGCCTGTATGAGACACAAGAGGATGCTTTTGTTCGCCAGTCTCTCACCAGCCTTCCAGAGATAGTCCTGGAGCGAGTTCGGTTCACCCGCATGGACCTCGAGGTCCTGGGCTACTGCGTCCGGTGCTGCCCAGCTGGTCAGGCTCTGAAACTGGTCAACTGTGGGCTGGTGGAGGTAAAGGAGAAGAAGAAAAAGAGTCTGATGAAGCGGCTGAAGGGGTGAGTCTAGAGGGCAAGGCTGTTCTCACCAGCGCAGTACGCGTGCCTGCCTGGGCTGGGAAACATGTCCACACCTGATGACCCACCCTTTGCAAGGTAGCTGTCTCTCTTCTTCCCCAGAGTGACCTCACCATGCCTTATGCAGATCAAGGCAACCTTCCCAGCACAGCCAACATAGCTCCAAGAAGTGACCTAGGCCCCTCCCTGATGCAGTTTCTCATACATTTTGGTATTCCATGTCCTCTGTGTGCTGAGCCTTGTACCTCTGCCCCAACGCTATTTGCTGTCTATCTTCAAAGTCTACCCTGACTTCACCACTTGGGTCCAACTGCTGGCCCCAAGGTACTGATTGCACTATTCCATAGCCCAGCTCCACCAGATCCTAGGTTCCTACACAGACAAGGACATTTGCTCTCTATGAACTAAGTTCTGTTCAATACCCATCCCAAGACTCACCATCTGTTGAGAGTATACACCAAGACAGTGGCAAGACCTGGTCCTAGCGACCTACAGGCCCACTCTTGGGTTTTGTTCAAGTTTGTTGTGGGGGGTCGGGATGGGGAAACACAAGGGATGTGGGATAAGTGACAGAGACAGTTCTGGAACCCTGGGGCATTACAAAGGAAAAACTGAGTCCTTTCTAAAAAGGCCTCGAAGGAGCATTATGGTCATCAATCTTGTTTTCTCTCTCCCTACAGTTCTCAAAACACCACAAAACAACCCTCAGTCTCCCTGCTGCGTCCACTCTGTGAGGCCATGACGTCCCAACAATGTGGCCTGCGTATCCTGATGTGAGTCACCATGCCTCAGCATGGAGGGGATTCCAAGCTGGGTGCCCGGTACAGAGACAGAATTTGCCCTCTGAGGAAGGCTGGGGACATAGGAGGCGAGCTTAATCAGGTTCCATCACTATTAAGTTCTGACAGAGGAAGGCTGTTGCTAGGCTTTGTGGGAAACGGGGTGCTGCACAGCCTGTAGGGAGAGACAGAAAAAGCAACAGTGCTTTCCTATGGAAGGAAGCTCCCTGGTGCTCTTAGAGACTGCTGGGCCATCTCTTGGAAGGAAAGTGTTCAGAGGGGTCGCCAGCTGGTACATCCTGACTCTCTGAACCCTTGAGCAAGTCAGTCTGCCCATGCTTTGGTGTCCTCCCTGTAAGACATAACCAGCTGAGGGCTGGGATGGCTCAGAGGTTAAGAGCACTGGCTGCTTTTCCAACAGTCCTGAGTTCAATTCCCACCAACTACTTGGTGGCTCACAACCATCTGTAATGAGATCTGGTTACCTCTTCTAGTATGCAGGCATGCATGCAGACAGAACACTGTATATATAATAAATAAACAAATCTTCTTTTAAAAGAATATAAGTATATACTCAAAATAATAATAATCTTATTATTAAGCTGCCTTAGCTTAATAATTAAGCACTCAGGAGGCAGAGGCAGGTGAATCTTTGAGTTTGAGGCCAAACTGGGCTGCAAAGTGAGTTTCAGGATGACCAGGGCTACACAGAGAAACCCTGTCTCGGAAATATATATATATATAATTCCACCTTGAGATTGATATAAGATTTACTGAGGCTTCATGGGTAGAGTTCTTAAAACTTTTAGCTATCACTGTTGAGCAGAGAGTAAGGAAAGTTATAGGAATAATAGTGACAGGCCACGGTGAAGCAGATAGTCATGCATCAATAGAGGATGAGGTAGAAGGCTGGGTTTGCGGGGGGAAGGGTCCAGAACCCTGAAAATAAAACAAAAGAGCCAAAAAGATTTGGCCCAGAAAACGAAGTACATGAAAGTGTTCACCTCATGATTTGTAATAAAAAAAATCTAAGATAGTAAAGGTGCTCAACCATTGGGGATGACGGCCCATCTGAACCCATGGGGTAATTATGAAAAGCTATGCATTTCTAGGCTAGTCATCAGGCTAGATGGTAGTTGGTTCAGCTGGAGGCGGAAAAGCAGTCAGGGGCTTGCAGACCAACCTACACACTTTTTGACCACAGCTTTTCACGCTGCAAACTCCCTGATGCAGTTTGTCGAGACCTCTCTGAGGCCCTGAAGGTAGCTCCTGCTCTCAGGGAGCTGGGTCTCCTCCAGTGTCGGCTCACTGAGGCAGGCTTGCGTTTACTGAGTGACGGACTGGTTTGGCCCATGTGCCAGGTGCAGACACTCAGGTGAGGCCTGGTTTTGGAGGGTTGGAGGTAGGGGATCCCAACTCCTGCAACCTCTGAAGTCAGCTCTTCCCACAGGATGCAAATGCCTAACCTCCAAGAAGCAATCCAGTACCTGGCCATCCTGCTCCAGCAGAGCCGGGTCCTGACCACCCTGGATCTCAGTGGCTGTCAGCTGCCTAACTACATGGTGTCCTGCCTGTGTTCAGCCCTGAAACACCCTAACTGCTGCCTAAAGACACTCAGGTGAAGGCAGGGGGAGACATGGTACTGAGGACACAGCCTATCAACTCTAGGTTAGAGTAGATCCTAGGAATCCCTCCCTGAGACCAAGCTCACACACAGAGCTGGGTGCCCAGCCTACAAAGATTCACCTTCTATGATTCTATCCAAAGCTCTGGGTCTCAAATAAATATCCATAGCCTATGGAGACAATCCGGGCCAGTGACCCTAATCATTGTCTATATTCCCTCAAAGGCTCTCAACTTTGAATAGATTCCAAAGCTTCTGGTACTTGTGTCTCTGTTATAGCTAAGCAGATAGCTCCAACCACTCCACCCTCACCTGGGTTCTTTCCCTTGCCCCTAACTGATCCTTGTCCTGTCTGTCTTATGCATGTGGCTGCAGTCTGACCTCTGTGGAGCTGAGTGACATGTCACTGAGGGACCTTCAAGCTATGAAGACATCAAAGCCAGACCTGACCATCCTACATCCAAAACTAGACACACATCCTCAGCCTCTCAAGAGATGAAGCAGTATCTTCCGAGGCCCTGGAAGCCAGAACAGGGTAAATGATGCTGTAATAAAAGCCCTTATGAAGATGTCCTCCCCATTCAAAAGCAGGAAGATGCCGGCTTCTCCCTCAAGGCAAGTCTTTCAAGTCAAGAAGCCATAGAAGGGCAAACAAAAGACCCAGGTAGATATAGGCCCTTGCTGGCTCCTGGTACATGTCCTACCATGCCTTGGACACTCTGAGGTTAGTTTTTCCCCCAGCCCCACAACCACTGCTATCTTACTTTCTGTACCCTCCAATCTGTCCCTTGCAGATAATCCCAACAATAATAAGAATATTCAGTAATTGAGCATATTGTTTAATGGAGTTACTCATATTTGATCTGGCCCACATCTCTCGTATAGGTGGATGCAGGGCCCCAGAGTATTACCTTCTATAGGCAGAAGGTAGGTGGATCACCATTCCAGTCTGGAATTTGGGGTGTTGGCTTTTAGAAGGATGTCATTCTGGAAACCTTGGGACTTTAACCCAGAGGAATCCATTTGCTGCAGGGCAATGAGCCAAAAGAATGACAGCTTTATTTGATGATGGGAGGGAGCTGGGGCAACACAATGGATGTCTCCAACACAATAATGATTTTTTGATTCCCTTTCATTGATCTCTGTAACACTTGTCTATCAAAGTAGGTGTTGGCACGACCTTTCCTATAGCCACATATACAGGGCAAGGTTTAGTCACAGTCCACTACTGAAGAAATGGGCTTGGCATGCTGGCCTGACTGCAAGAGAGGTGTGGCCTTGAGAATCAGGACAAGCCATGCAAGCCCCTTCTGTCTGTATGTTGCTTCTATTGGTTAATGAATAAAGAACTGCTTTGAGCCTATGGCAGGGAAGAACAGAACTAGGCAGGAAAAGCTAGGCTGTATGCTGGGAGGAAGAAGGGTGGAGACAGGGAGATGCCATGTAGCCCCACCGGAGACCAGACACTGGAACTTTAGCCGGTAAGCCACAGCCACGCGGCCATATACAAATTACTAGAAATGGGTTAAACTAATATGTAAGAGTTAGCCAATAAGAAGCTAGAGCTAATGGGCCAAGCAGTGATTTCATTAATACAGTTTCTGTGTGATTATTTCAGGGCTTAACAGCCTCCCTTCCTCCTCAGTACAAATCGGCACCCATGTGGCCAACTAAAATCCACTTAAAAACCTGAGAGAGCTTGAAAATGAATTCTAGACATAAAAGAACAGAGTTTAGTGGTTTCTTGGTAGCAATAATTTTTTTCTAGATGGGCTTGCAGCAAGTAAGGTGCCACAGGGCACAGTAAAAACTGTGCAGCTTCTTAAAAAAAAAAAGGCGACTTCCTGGTTCACTGGCACAACGGTTCTGGCTCTTTTGGGAGATTCGGCTATTAAACACTTAAATGGAGTTTGTGGATAGCATACTGCAAGTTACTTGGTGGCAGCATGGGCCTACTGGTTATCAGAGTTGAGGTGGTGAGGATGGCTCCCACCCAGCAGTCTCAGGCACTAACCGACTTCCACCATGTTGGACTGTGTGGAGCAAGCAGGTAGTGCCATATTTCCCTTAGCAATGGCACAGCTTAAGTTTTTAAGAAGCGCTTAGCATTTTAAGAAGTGCTCCTGGACAATAATTACAGATTCACAATAGGATAGATTCAGACATAAAAGACCTCTAAATGGGTCACAGTGATGGATAAATGTATGTAGGCTTGGGAGAGTAAAGAGAGTTATAAAAAGAAGTAAATGGTTTTTTAAAAAATAAAAAAAGTCTTTAAAGAGACTTTAAAGAGTATAGATAGTCATAGATTAAAAGGAGTAAAAAAAGAATAAGTCACGTAATGATGGAATATACTGGATTCTGTATACTATTGTGTTTTCTTTAAATTTTTTGATTGTGAAGAAGCTAAGTACAGAGAGACATTTCATTGTACAGGCTGCTAAACTAAACCAATGTAAAGGTATCTTGACTTTAAAATTTGATTCTAAGGATATGTTGCTTTGGAAAAGAGGTTCTTCTTTTATTTCCACAGAGAATGGGAACCTCTGGATTGCTTCCAGACTAATATTGTTTGATAGACCACAACCCCCTGAAAGGTCACCATGAACACCCCTCAAAAAATTACTTTGCCCAATAGACAGCAGGAAGAAGTTTGGACAGAACTATGCCCATATTCCCAAATATTGTCTATAAATGTTTATTTACATTTAAAGGGGGATATGTAATGGAGATGGATACTTTGCATTGGTATGGATCTTGTTTTATTGATACAAATTTAAGGTCAATTTTGTTATACATATATTTCTGCTCTTGATTAAGGTACTATGTTTGTGAAGCTCATTTTAAAATGTAATGTAAAATTAAGAAATAAAAGTTAATAGATAATCATCTATAATAGTCAAGCTTTTCATCATGTTAGTTAGATTTTCTAGATGTATAGAGATATATTTCAGTTAGATAGGTATTCTTCAAATCTTTCAGAGACCTTCAAAATATGGCATTTAAAATGTTTAAGAACTTAAAAGTTTTCATGACAGTGAGACACATCTGCTCCTGGCAACACCAAGCTCTTCAAGAAGAAGATGGGCATTGAAGAGTTGGTTGACCATTTAGCAAGAAACTGCTCTTGCCTGGACTGCTTGATAAACTGGACATGTAGAACCCACAGAGAAATGACTGCTGAACTTGCCTAAAGGTGAGATGGTCCTTTCCTGCTACATAAAGGAGTCTGCCAGACATTCCGCAGGATACAAAAGAAAGTGACTGGCAAACTGCCAATATAAGCAGAACTGTCTTTGAAATTTCCTGCTTCATGGAAAAGTCTGCTGGATACAAATAGGCCTATAGGCTGAAGATAGATGCCCCAATGGCACAGAAAAACTTTGGGTGACTATCCAGGCAGTAAGATGTCTTTGTCAATTCTAGAGTTTTGGAAGTTGCTTATAATGTACTTCCTGTTTACTTAGGTAATATCATATCCTTCTGGAGTCTTTGATGGAGTTGAAGAATTTATAGTTATAGTTTATCATATATAGTTATATATGATAAAAGTTAAAGTAGATATAAATATTTTAACTGTAATTCTTGCTCGATAACTTTTGTTATATGTAGTTTTACTCTGTTAATATTAAAGCCTTCCTTTTTGTTTAAACAGAAAAGGGGAAATGGTGTGGGAGGTCCTTCTGTCTATGTGTTACTTTTATTGGTTAATGAATAAAGAACTGCTTTGAGTCTATTGCAGGGAAGAACAGAACTGGGCGGGGAAAGCTAGGTTGTATGCTGGGAGAAAGAAGGGCGGAGTCAGGGAAATGCCATGTAGCCCCACCAGAGACCAGATGCTGAAACTTTAGCCAGTAAGCCATAGCAACGTGGTGATACAGAAATTACTAGAAATGGGTTAAATTAATATGTAATAGCCAATAAGAAGCTAGAGGTAATAGGCTAAGTAGCCATTTAAATAATACAGTTTCTGTGTGATTATTTCGGAGCTAAGCAGCCGGGAACCCACAAGTGACCCCCTCCAACAAAAGTAGGTGTTGGCACGACTTTTCCTATAACCACATGTACAGAGTGAAGTTTAATCCCAGTCCACCACTGAAGAGATGGGCTTGGCATGCTGGCCTGACTGCAAGAGAGGCGTGGCCTTGCGAATCAGGACGAGCCATGCATGCCCCAGAACTGAGTCTTCTCTGCTCAGCACTGCAATGAGCCCCTTACTTCCCAGGGGAAATTCCCTCCACAATCCCTTTATAGATCCATTCCTCCGTCCTCCAAAATGAAAAACACAAAAGCCTACTCTCTCAGTTACTTTTCTATTACTGTGATAAAGCGCCATGGCTGGAAACAACTCATGATATAAAGACTTACAGTTCCAGAGGGAGAAGGGCCCACCCAGGCTGGGAAGCATGGCAGCAAGCAGCAGGTGTGTCAACTGGAGTAGAAACTAGGGGTTCACATCTTGAACCACAAGCACAAAGCAAAGCATGAACTGGAAATGAGACTAGTCCTTTTACTCTCAAAGCCTGCCTCCCTGACATATATTCCTAAGAGTGTCACCAACTGGAAATTAAGTGTGCAATTATTGTGGTGGTTTGAATGAGAAGGCCCCCATAGGCTCATATCTTTGCATGTCTAGCTCCTAGTTGGTGGAACTGTTTGGGAAGAATTAGAAAGCGTGGCCTTGTTGGAGGAGCTGTGTCATTGGGATGGGTGTGGGGGGGTGAGATTTCAAAAGCCCATGCTAGGTCTAGCCTTGCTCTCTCCCTCTACCTCCAACTCGCAGACCAAATGTGAGCTCTCAGCTACTGCCCCAGCACCACAGCTATCTGCCTGCTGCCATGCTCCCTGCCATGATGATCATGGACTAATCCTCTGAAACTGTAAGCTAGGCCCAATTAAATGCTGCCTTCTATAAGTTGCATTGGTCATGGTGCCTCTTCACTGTGATAAAACAGACCTATCTTTCTCTCCTGCCTTGCTATTGGCCTTTTAGCTCTTTGTTAGGCCAATCAGGTGCTTTAAACAGGCACAGTAACACAGCTTCACAGAGTTACACAAATGCAGCATAAAAGAATGCAACATTAAATGCAACATCATTAAACCAACATTCCACAGCACAGAAGAATACAGCACATCTTAGCTAATATTCCACAACTTTACTCCATTTTCCTTTTAGGTAAATTTTTATTTATTTCTGTACTGGTCCCTATAGTGTCTGCTTTAATCATGCCCCAAGCTAAAAGTTAAGCTAAAGGTCAACTTGTCTTTTTTTTTAAAATTCATTCTTCCTCTATAATCTTGCAATTCACATGTCATAAACTGCTTCAGTTGTTTCCTGGAATTTTGCTGAAACTGTCTGACCATAAACCCACAATAGTACTTTTCCCATGATAATAAAGGTAACTGAAAATTTCAGTTTTGTAATCACTTGCTCACCTGCTACAGAGAGGAATCCTGCTTTTAGTCTTGGGTGCTTCGGTCTCCTATTCCTGAGGAGACTGTAAATTCAGCCTGTTTGCAAAATACTTTTTTTTTTTCAAACCTTACAACATCTTAGTGTTAGCTCCTATTTTGTTTTGTTTTGTTTTGGATTTTTTATTCGGTTGGTTTTGATTTTTTTTTTAGGTTTTTATTTGTTTGTTTTGGGGGGAGGTTGTTTTTTGTTGGTGGTTTTTGTTTGCTTGTTTGTTTTACAGGGAGGTTGGGTTTTGTTGTTGTTTGTTTGGGGGAGATGTTTTGTTGTGTTTTTGTTTGTTTGATTGTTTGTTTTTGGCTTTTTAACATGGGTTTCTCTGTAGCACAGCCCTGGTTGTGCTGGAACTTGCTCTATAGATCAGGCTGGCCTTGTAGACCAGGCTTGCCACCACTACCCAGCAAGAGTGATTCTCTCCTTAATGACACTAGTCTCCTTAACAATTACACTTCTCTCTTCCAGCCCAAGCTCTGGATACAGTAGGCATCCTAGTGCCCTCTCCTCTCCAAACTGTACAGTTTGTATTTAACCCTACTTGCTCTTTTTCACTGTAGACATGCATAAGTGTTATCAGTAACAACTGTGTACAGATTATGTTATCTTGAAATTTCTTCCACTAGAGAAATTAGCCCATTATTTTAAAATTTGACCTCGGACAAGTTCTTAGGACAAGGGCAGAAAGCAACCAGTTTCTTTGCCAAATTATTGCACAAACAGCTTATAGCTGAGTTAGAAACATTGTTCCCCTCTAAAATCTCTTGAGCTGGACCTCTATGTTCTAAATTGTTCTCAGTACTACTGTCTTTCAGGATCTGATTAGAATGGCCCTTTAAGCTCTACTTAAAGCACCCAATCATTGTTCTAGTCTAAAGTTCCAAAGCCTTCCACATTCTAAAACCCAACATGGTCAGGTTCTTTGAAGCAAAAACCCATTCCTGGTACCAACTTCTACATTAGTTACTTTTCTGTTACTATAAAAAAATAAAAATAAAAAAATAAAAGCAGGATAAAGGCAACTTAAGGAAGAGTGTTTGTTTTTGCTTACAGTTTCAGAGGAATAAGAGTCCCTCATGGCAGGGAGGCAGAGCAACAGTTGGCAGGTACAGTGGCAGGGACAGAATGCTGAGAGCTCATATTGTCAAAGGCTAGCATAAAGTAGAGAGAGGAAATGGGGCAAGGATGTAATCTCCTAAAGCGTAACCAGTGACATGCATCTTCCAGCAAGACCGCACCTCCTAAACCTTCCCAAACAGTGTCACCAACTGGGACTCAAATGTTCAAATACTTGAGTCTATAGGGAACATTTCTTTCTGTTTGTTGGTTGGTTGCATCTTTTGGTTTTGTTTGTTTGGTTTGGTTTTTTTGGTCTTTTTCGAGACAGGGTTTCTCTGTGAAATAGTCCTGGCTGTCCTGGAACTCACCCTGTAGACCAGACTAGCCTGGAACTCATAGAGAGCCCCTGTCTCTGCCTCCTGAGTATTGGGATTAAAGGCACATGGTGCCACTACCCAGTTGGGGAAAATTTGTAATCAAAATCACCACACCTGCCTTCCTGGAGCTGGTGTTCTGGACCTAGCAGAGAGACAGACAATAAGTACATAGATGATACATTGAATACCATTCAGTAAATATGTGATACATAAATATATAATATGTAAATATGTATGATGTATAATCATAGATATGTATTGATACATAAAACATGGTTAATGCTGATCTATTATAAGGACAAAATACAGTAATATATAGTATATAATACATTAAATGTATGTCTAAAACATGCAATAATTAGGGGTGTGATACATCAATTGCATGTGAAATACACAAATAAAACAAAGTGTGATACACATGGTACACACATACATAGACACACATGTTAGATTAACACATAATATAATAAGTATGTGCAGGAAGATGGGAAATTGAGACAGCGTGAAAAGGAAAAGAGGACTTGAGTTCTGGTTTGTATTTTCTACTCTTGAAAGTTAAGACCTTCTTCTTTCTTTATTTCGGTTTTATGAGACAGTGTCTATGTGACCCTGGATACACTAGAACTCACTATGTAGACCAGGCCGACCTCAAACTCACAGTGATCCACCTATGTACCACTATGCCTGGCTAAAGAACCAAGATTTTCGATACAACTGCTCAAATAAACATCACTTACAAAGACAGCATTCCTCTTCTTAAGACATCTCAAATTGGAAATGTGTTTCCTGGGTCTGGAGAGACGGTTCAGTGGTTAAGAGCTTGGGCTGTATGGGTGCGGGGGATTTGAACTCAGGTCCTAATGCTTGTAGTGCGAGCACATTACCCACCGAGCCATCTCTCCTACTCTCAAATAAGAATTTCGTAAACAAGTGCAATGTACTTTCTTAGGGCCAGAACGTTTATGAGTTGTTTCATTTTGTCTTAAGGCCCAGGGTCTCATATACCCAGGCTGGCCTCCAACTCACTGTGTAGAAGATGACTTTGAACTTCCGATCTTCCTTGTCCCTCCACACCAGCGTGATTACAAGGTGTCACTGTGTGGTTTAAGCAGTGCTACAGAGTAAGCCCGTGGCTTGGCAATGCTATGCAACCTTTGCTTTTGTTTTCGTTTTGTTTTGTTTTCAAGACAGGGTCTCACTATGTAGCTCTGGCTATCCTAGAACTCACTCTGTAGACCAGGGTGGCTACACATTCAATGTCAGCCATCTCTTTCCCATATAACTGAACAATGTACCCCATAAACCACCTTACAAACTCAGTTACAAAAGGAAATTCACTGAGAGAACGAGTAAGCCAGCTCACATCATTTTATTTAACTTTTAAACTTTACTTAATCTTTAACTTTGCTTAAACTTTGAACCTTGCTGTAAATTATATCCTTTGAGCAATGTAATTTCAAAAACTGCAAAATCATACATAGCTATTGTTAGTGTTGACTGAGACTCTGGAGGTCCTATTCTGGAGTCTCAGTATCCTGAAAAGAGGACTCTAGAGGGGACCAGAGAACTCTTTGGCTAAGGATTTGAGAGAATGTCAACAGGGCAAGTGTATTATTAGTAAGGGTTCTTCAGAGGAACAGAACCGATAGAAAAAAATATATGTATGTATATGTATATGGGATGTATTAGAGTGGTTCCTAAACCTTCCCAAAAAGTACCACCAACTGGGATCCAAGTCTTCAAATACCTGAATCTCTGGAGGCCATTTTCCATTAAAACTACATCTGCCTTCCTGGAGCTTGTGTTCTGGACCTAGCAATGAGACAGACAGTAAATTCACAAATTATA